AGCTTTGATTTCATAAATAATTGTCCACCTTCATTTCAAATACTGTTAGTATTTTATAATCCTGAGGTGTGAACAAAGCTTCATAGGGTCTAAACAAGAGTCTTTTACTGGAAGTTACCGTCCTTGTTTAACTCACAAATCTCAGATAGTGTTTTGAGGTCAATATCTCTACAGAGTTGGCTTTTGAAGGTCTCCTAGGGCACATAAAGGCCCCTGGTATATACAGAAGGAGAGAAATAGCAGTTCAGTTCCAGGAAACTGAAGCAAGCACTTGTTTAGGGTTTCAGCACAGGTTATAAGGAAGGAAAGAACTCTTCAAAATCTCTAGTATTCAGCTGCAAAGGCCTCCAGACTCTCGAAGGTAGTTCAGAGGAAGACACGAGTCCATCTGTTTGGCTGACTGCCTTGAGCACTGTTAACTCATGCCCAACTTCAGTCCACCTCCACAGATAAATGGGGAGTCAGGAGACCAAATCTGTCCGTTAGCACAACCTCTGACCTCTGGCTGTGCTGTCCAAGTATTTTTCCATTCGGGAAAAAAACCCACATAGAGTAATTCTATCTTTAATCCATCATCACTTGTGGCATAGCACAGTCCTAAGCTTATATAAGAAGGTAAAAAAATAATTCAAACAGACACATGCAATTGGAGGTTACACCTTAATAACTGCAGATACTGAATGTTGCTTGTGCTTGTAAAAAGCCATGCAGTAAATCATCTGGAGAAAATGTCCTGTCTTGGTTCTAGGGAGTTCTGTAACAATTCTCTTTTCATTCCACCAATTAAGATGCTATTGAATGACTGTTATTACCGGGAACCTAGTTAGTGAGGCCTACAAGTTCTTTCAAGTTTCAATAGTTGCATCAATGTAAAGTACTAGGTATAATGCATAGAAAAGACTAGATCCAAAGTTTTTGTTGCTACTTTCTTTTGAAGGCCCAAGTCTGCCAATACAGAAAAATGACATAAATTATCTCTCCCCAATGCATCAATCTACCCACCTTGAAACCTGAGATTAAGAATGTGCTGATTAAGAAATCTAAATTTTTCTCTGGAGAAAATGCTGTAAAGGACCAGATAGTAAATATTTCAGGCTTGCAGGTCACCAAGTAGCAACTATTACTCTGCTGACATAGGCTGGAAGGACTCATAGACAACAGGCAAATGAATGTGGTGGCTCTGTTCCAACAAAATTGTTTTGTTGACACTGAAATCTGAATTTCATATAAGAAATTTTCACGTTACAAAATAATGCAATTTTTTGCAACCACTTAAACATGTAATTTACTTCACATGCTGTACAAAAAAAGTCAGTGAGCCCAATTTGGCCCACTGTTGGGAACTGCCCTGCCTGATATCAGAAGCTATAACCCCCACCAAGGCTAAGGCTGAGGGAACGACCTTGGAACCATAAGCCACCAAGGAGACAGGCTTATCTCCCTGGCAGGAGCACTGCTTCTGCTCCTTTTACTTCATCTATAACTGGCCCCCAATGCTAGGTTGGTTAGCCAATGATGGGTAAGATTCCCCAAGGGGGGCATGACCTAAGACAGGCACGATCACATGGGAGGCCCCCAAGGAAGGACTTTGGAGGCTACAGCAAAAGGGGGTGATGGACCCTTGCCCCTCAGCTTTGACAAAACCTGAGTCTTCATTGTCTGTGAGAAAATCTTATCTCTTGGTTGCCTTGGTTGCCTTAGTTCCCTTGCTCCACCTAAGCCTGAAACAATGACAGGGTGGTGCCGCTCTGTGCTGGAAAGGGCAGGTTCCCCAGGTGATCAGGCCTAAGAAAGAATATGTAAAATCCTGTGAAGCCTGCTTTGTTTAGAATGCTCTCAGTTGAATGATAAGGGTCCAAGGAAGAAGTAAGTTTGTTCCTTAAAGTTTAACAGCTCTTTGACCCTGACTCAAAATAGGCCCTCAGAGCTCCTTGTTATCTGTTGTTCGATCCTTACTTCCTGGCAATGAGCAATGAGCTTTACCTGAATTCTTATGCAAATGAACACAATAAAAGCCTGTCGGGTGGGGGAACAAGGCGCTTCCCACTAGAGAGTGGCCGTTTCGTCCCTGTTTCTCCACAGGACTCAGTTATCTCTGTGTATGTTTTTCTCGTGTTTCGACAAGCCATCTGCAGCGTTCTGAGGTCACTGCCGGTCGGTGGCCGCAACAGCCCACCAAATACATCCTTGCTCTAAAAGCTGATCCCGCTTCTCTTATCCAAAGTAAAACAGAATCTTAGTTTTGAAGCCAGCACACCAAACCAAGTTACAAAAATGGTGCTACTACAATAGTTTTAAAGTTGGTTTAGCTCAAAGAAGGCTTGCATCTGTAGGCTATAGTTACTAAATAGCAATTGTTAATGTATAGACATTGCCCAAGTGCCAAAGTGGTGGAGAATTATTTTAACCATAGAATCTTCCACCGTAGCTTCTTAATAAAATAACCATAAGGAAAGCTGTGCTAAGTACGGGGCAATCAAATCCATAATCCTATTTTCATGCAACTCCAAAAGAATCAGATGTGTCTGGCTATGGAACCCACATACTCAACTGAACACAAGACCTTGTGGAAAACTATTAATTTGATGGGGTGAGGGGAACCATTAGAGTTGCTATTTCACAAGCAACAAAGTTTGTAAAGCAAATCCAAGATCCTGGAATACAGGTTGGGGCAAAAGTAGGTTTACAGATGTTTGTACAGAATACATTAATAAATAATAATAGAAAAATAAACTGTTCCCCATACTCACAATTATAAACCTACTTTTGCCCCACCCCTTATAAAGCAAAGAAGACAGTCTCCTATTTTACCTAACCTCACTGTGGTTTCCATACACATTTCTTTTGCCCATTTTAACCTTATTTGTGGATACTTTCATAATGTGACTGTATCATCTCAAAATGTCTGGATTGATTATTCTAAGGAAAAGAGATGTATCTCCCCCTAACTATTTCAAAATCACCAAATTAGTCTTCACCTTGAAGAAATTAACTACCAAATTGTTTGTGCAACTGGTTGAAACACACACAAACCACACATACACCCACACACGAACACATTCACATAAACATGCACACCTAAATATCCCCGAAGCATAATGAAGTAAATGAGGTATCTGAAACCAGTATTAATTTTCCTTAGAATCTGACAGATGCAGCTTTAAAAACATATACCATCAGAAAGTAACCTCTGTTAGGAGATATTCTAAGGCTGTATCTACAGTTATAATTCTACCCAGGTTCCATAAAAATCAAAGAGTTTACAGTTTTTCAATTTTTAAAATATGCCCAACTTTATGAGCACATAAGACATACTAAGTGTGCTGCAGAAGAGGTAGTCACAAGTGTTAGAACATCTCCAGCTAAGAGACTCACTCACCCATAATTTCACTTCAGCGGAAATAAGCCTCCTTTTTACCCTATCCAGAACCATATTTCTACTACCTGCTGAAAATGACTTTTTAATTCATTTTACACCACTATCTGTGTGTATTTCCCATATGGAAATGTGACATTTTGGCAATTGTACATTATCACTACACTACTTCAGAGTTGACTAGTGTAATTAATCTAAAAATGACTAGTGTAATTAATGACTAGTGTAATTAGTCCATAGCAAAGAATGTCGTTTTACAACTTAAGATCACCTACTAGGTTTATGCACACTCCTCACAGTATCATAAGTGTTATTACCTAACAAATTGCAATAGCTGTGGGATTACCAAAAAGATTACAGAAGTTTGCCCTGGCTGGCATAGCTCAGTGGATTGAGTGCAGGCTGTGAACCAAAGTGTCACAGGTTCGATTCCCAGCCAGGGTATATGCCTGGGTTGCAGGCCATAACCCCCAGCAACCCCACATTGATGTTTCTCTCTCTCTATCTCCCTCACTTCCCTCTCTAAAAATAAATAAATAAAATCTTAAAAAATATATATATATAAAAAAAGATTATGGAAATTTATGATTTCCTTTAAACATAGAAAAATGGCCAGTGTAAATATTTCCTATTTAAGAACTAAACGCTACTTTTCTAAGTAAATTCTTTTACCTCCTTAGATAATTCTTTATTATCATTAAAACGCATGAAATCAATCTTAGTGTAAACTCGCTGAACACCTGGCATACATAATGAGAAAAGCAACATAGGAAAATGATAAATCTATGAAAATAATGAGACAAAATGGGGACTAAGAATTGGATTCTGCTCTCTGGAAAGGCAAACTACTATAAACGCTAGCTATTACGAGCCAACACTCTGGCAGAGGTCAAAAGCCTCTCCAATGAATGTAAACTGTAAATTACAGTACGGTCAAACATGAAATATCTCACCCTTAATTCCACAGCTGGCCTGCACATATATCTTTGAACAGCACAAAGCTAAGCGGCCAAACCGGCCCCACTACCTAACCCTGCCAGTAAAAGCTTCCATCTCCTCCGTTCCTACCACATCTTTCTGGTCAGACAACACCTCAATTTGGAGTTGTTCTCTCAGGTAGGAGCGGAAGACTGGGTGGGGTGGGTGCAAGGGCCTGTCAAATAGTTTGTGCTTCGGACAAATGATACCCGAATACGCGTGGAGAGTTGAGTGGCGACGCACTGTTACATTTCTGTGTGACCCTTTGTATGATCACAGGTTCAACCAGACAAATAGAGGGGCCGGCTCTTCGGGGGTATGGAGAGTGTGCGACGTGACGGGCTTGGTCTGCTTGTTTATACCTCAGACCTGGTGCCAAACGAGTGCCCACCGCTGGGGGCCGAGGTGGTCGAGTCTGCAGCAACCGCCTGGGGCGCGGGAACAATGCGGGGCCTGGGGCGCCCACGCTCGGCCTGCGGCGGGGATACAAGGGATCTCAGCAGCCGGGGGGAGAACGAAAGGCACCCTCCGCCGAGCGCCCGGCAGGGGAACTTTTCGCTGGGCCGAGGCCGCAGCCCCTCACAATGGCCGCCAAGCGCCGCAAGGCCCGGCCGCCACGCCCCCGCCCCGCGGGCCAGGCCGGTACCTGGTGGTTCTCCTTCCTGCCGCCCGCTGGCGCCGCCGGCCCACCGGGGCCGCTCGTCATGTTCACGTACAGGGAGCGGGTGAGCGGGCTCCGCAGCGTCCACATCCTCCGCGCCAGCCACACGGACGCCAGGCTGAGGCACAGCCAGCCCGCCAATAGTCTCATCAGGGGCAGCGGCCGCTGAGTCCGATCACTGCCGGCGCCGAGGTGAAGAGCAGGACGCGCCGCCGCCTCGGGCCGCCGCCGCCGCCGCCGGGGCTCGAGACATCTTGTCCTACTTGTCCATTCAGCCCGTGCGCGGCTGAGGCGGGAGAGTAGAGGGGCGGGCTGCACGCAGCCTTCCCGCCTCTCTTTCCCTTCCTGCCACGGAACGCCGCAGCCGCCGGCGCGTGTTTCCAGCCGAAGCACAAACAAGCAGGGGAGCGCGTACTGCCCGGGAGGCCTGCTTTCCGCCCAATCAGACAGCGGAACGGGCGGGGAAGCGGAACTAGGGGAGCGCGCTTTCTCCCGGAGCGCAGCTATGTACTCGGTCTCCTCCTGTACTCCGGAAATATGTGTGTGTGTGTGTGTGTGTGTGTGTGTGTGTGTGTGTGTGTGTGTTGGGGGGGGTCGTTTTAATTTTTTTTACGGCGGGTGAGATCCCTTTCGAAGAGGGTAACTGAAATCTCCCGGTCCGTCTAAGGTGGTGCTACCAGGCAGGACTTCTGGTCTTTCCTTGCCTTAGTGGTTATCTCTGGGCTGCTCATCCCCCAACCCCGATCGACTTTCACCTGGTTGTGCAAATTGGCTCGGGCTATGGAGCGGAGTCTCCTCTCTCCCAACCCTCAGACCACAGTCTTGGAGACTGACGCTGCCAGTTGTTAGCTGTTACTGGCTCAGCTACGTGGCTTCCTGTTTACATTAGGAGCCCACAAGCCAGACCCAGGGGTGTCCATCCTTATTTGCCAGGGCTGCAAACCAGACAGGAATTTGGGGAAAGGATACCACTCCACCTGGTCCCCCAAGCCAGGCCATTTACAACCGGCTTCTAAGAGGTATCAGTAAAAGCGCTGCCTTTGTTGGGAGATGCTGCAACTGGGATGTTTTAATGTACTGTTGATCCTGTCCAAAAACGGAGACCCCAAATTAGTGTCTCCGACTGCAATTAACAGACGGAAGTTGAGCACAACACTCTTAAAGCGAACTAAGTTCTGGGAGCAGTATTTACCCGGATGTTTCTTTGATCATTTATAGCTCGGGGAGACCTAGCAACCTTTCAAAACTGAAGGGTTTTCCGTGTTCCTGTGCCTGAATTTCTGCTGCTACCCAATGTGCAACTAAGGAGTGACACAGTTCATGGATTCCCTAATGCTAACATTCTCCTAGGTTTATTTAGAAAATGGTTTCAATTTAACTGCACTAGAGTTGTGGAAAATAACACACGCGGGAGAGATGGCGGAGCACGAACCTTTATTATGCATGCGGGCTCAGAGGAGAAACCCCAAATTCTGAACAATGAGCTCAAGCTGGAGTTTCCTTTATATGCTTGTTACACAGGCAGGAGGAGGAGGGGAAGGAGTGCAGCTGCTAAAACCGGGGTTAGTGTACTACCTTGAGATAACTGTTTATCCGGGAATGGCTGCTGGTCAGCTCCTACCTAAGAATAGCTACTGCTCAGCTATGTCCTGTCACATTACCCCCTTTGATGCTCTAAGGTGTTTTTATCCCTTTAGCATCACTATATACCTGGCTATATGGCTGAGGTCCTTGGGAGGGTTGCAACTGCTGATACTGGTGTTGGTACCATTGGAAGGCTAACACTTTGGCGGCTGCCCTACAAGTCACTGTAGCCTCAAGTGTTGGACCAAGGTCCGGAGAATGCAGGGTCCCATATGCCTGACACCTCCAGGTCTGGTATCCTATGGTTCTGGATATCACTCCAGTCTGGTATACCTTCCCTCCCCAAGTACAGAGGGATTGCTGTGGCTGAACGCAACCCAATGGCATGTCAGTGGAGGAGCTGAAAGCTGACCTTGGGAGATAGCAAGAGATTACTCTACCGCTGAGCATAATCCTATGCCCGGGGGTATTGCATTTGCAGGCTGGGGCTGAGACAGGGGCAGCATTTGTTAAGCAAAGCATACAATAAACCCAAATGCAGAGACCAAACAGAGATAAACTATTCCTGGGGTGATCCGCTTCATGGGATTGTATTCCGCAGGGGTCAAATCACCAGTCCAATTCCCAATGCTCCTGCGAAGGTGCCAATTAAAGTCAGGTACCCTGCAAAACAATGGTCCATTCCTTGGTGTCTTCTTTACTGGCTGGCGTCCTCCGGTGCCTCAGAGTGGGCATTCTAGGTGCAGGCCTAGTTCTCGGGTCCTCGGGATCTGCTGCTGTTTTGGCCCAGCTGTAGTGGATCCAAGGGGTGACTCCTGCAACCTAGGAAATGCTAGTGGCAATAAGTCTGTCCAGGGAAGTCCAGTTTTTTGGTAGAATTTAGCTAAGGTTTCATTTTCTGTCCGCGCCCCTGATCATACCGTGAGTACTTCCAACAAGCCTGTTTGCTGAGTGTTGTGCTGGGTGATGCACCAGAACCCCGAGGAAGCTTGTAGGCTGCTGGGGCAGGTGAACCTGATGGAGCACTGTGAAGGGCAATGACAGAGGACTGTGAGGACGGCTGTGGGGGCACTTCAGATACACAGCGCGTGCCCTCTGCAACTTGATGTGAAGAGTAGGAGTGTGTTCAGGATGTGCTTCTGGTGTTCTTTCCTTAATTCAACCAGGTGCTTCAGTAGCGTGTGCATTCCTTCCCAGCACCGTTCCTGGGATGGGCCACCAGGAGGAGGTTGTCCATGTACTGCAGAATTGTCAGGTCCGGCCCCCCTTAGCAAGGGGCTTCAGGTCTCCTGCTAGGGCTTCCCCAAATAAGGTTGGGGAGTTCTTAAACCCCTGGGCCAGTTTAGTCCAGCTCAACTGAGTCTTGACCGCTGTGTGCAGATCTTTCCATTCAAAGGAAAAAATGGGTTGGCTGGAAGGTGCCACAGGAATGCAGGAGAAGGCATCCTTCAAATTAAGGCAGGTAAACCATGTTGCTGTTGGGGGAAGTTGGCTCAGGAGGATGTATGGGTTCAGGACAACTGGCGGAGGGTGATGGCTGCTTCGATGACAGCCTGCAGATCCTGGACTGGCCAGTACCCACTCCCATCCAGCTGCCATTATGGGTCTGGGCAGGTGTGGCCCCATGTTATGGAGGCAATCTTCTCTGAGATCCCATGCAGGCACTGTAACTCAGGGGACCTGCCTTCCAGTCACATCTTGGGTAGGGAGAGTCTTTCTTTATCTCCCTGGCCCAGAGCATGGCCACAGCTATTTAGCATACCTAAGTGACCAGCCAAAGGCTATAGGTATGTCAAATGACTATGCCATGAATTAGCTGTAAAGCTGTTGTACAAAACAGCCCTGCATGTTCTTGTTCTGTGTGTCCCTCCCCCAACTCACACCTGTGGGGGAAGGGGTGAAGACATCTTAAAATCTCCTGGGTGCCTTGAGTTCTGGACCCCATTCTAAATGCCCATTTGGGGTTCCCTCTCTTGGCTGCACCCTGCAACAATTTTTCATTCCAGATATACACCCACTTTAAATTCCTTTAAAGGACAATGGATGAAGGTCTTATCTTCTTGTAACTACTTCCGGCTGGAAATGGATGTTGTCCTACCTGCCCATGGGTCAGGGGTGCCCTGAAGGGGGAGAGGGGGTGCAGCACGTAGGGAGTCCTTCCTGTAAGGGGAAGGACCTTACAGAATCCTGGTCAGTTGGCTGTCACCAGAAAGTCGCAGGTTTGGTGTCCAAAGACTGGCATTACTGGACCATTGGCATCCTGGTCATATTCTGGAGATGACATATTTGGAAAGAGTTGGAAGGCCCAATTAAATCATAACCACTAAATGACAAAGGCAGGAACTTAAGTAAAGAATGGCTTATCTGGAGGAAGGTGTACAAGGCATGCCATACCTATCCAAAACTCTTGTGGCCCATTATATTTCACTCAGGCTGAGGGGAATATATTAGGATTTCCCTCCTTTCAGATACCTGAACCCTTCCTGTCCACACCATCAAGACAGAAAAGGGAAAATCAGTTGTAAAGTGAAGCCCACAGATCACCCGAACCACTCACCAACCCAACCACTCAGTTCAGCCAAACTGTTGAGTTTCAGGGGGTGATGATAAAGAATGGGCTCGTTAAGTGAGGCCTATATTGCAACCAATCACTCAGGTAATGAAGTCATAGGCATATGTCCTCTGAAAACAGAAGAACACACAGGTTAATTCACACAATAGTCCCCAAACCAGTCTCTGTGCCTGTAAGACTGTCTTTTGGGAAGACATTCAGTTGCAAGGTCTTTCCTGCAATGACATTTAGCAATGGCAATTTGACAGGTTCTCCATACCTGTAAATTATATATCTTTGATGATACTACAAAACCAGTTTCAACTTTCAAACAAAAAGACGCTTTCAAGACAGTTAGCTGCGTCATTCTGGTGTCCAATACTGAGCATTGTGATTTTCCTTGAACCACAATTTTTCTCCTTAAGATCACCCTCACTGTTATTAAAGGGACTACTTTGAGTTCCGCTTTTCATTTTGACTGTTTGTTTGCATAAACACACCAAGAGCAGCCTGGATCACTTATGATCTTTAATTTCACTTTGTTGGAACTCACACAGGGAAATCAGTCTTTAGTCTGACTTCTTAGTCCACCCCTCGGGGCACAGAGGCAGAGCCACACATCCGCCATTTGGCTTCACCCATACCAGTTGTTTCACTCAGATCCTTGAGGCTTCCATTGTGCCCACAGGTTCCTTTTTGGCCATCTTTCATGAAAGCAACCTTCGTTCCTTCCTTGGAAAGACTGCCATGAACTGCACAACCAACCAAAGTACCAGGCTTTTCTCGTGGGCTTACACTAGCTTCGCAAGTTAATCCCAGTCCCTCAGGGCTTTCTGGTGATGACCAGAACCCATACATGCCTCCTTCAGATGTGACATTCCAGTCAAAGTCTTGGTTTACAAAAACACTATTAGCGACTGATCTTATTGGTTTCATGCAAAGAAACCTTATGTCTTCACTCACTCCTTCAGAATGCCAAATTCTGGAGGGATCAGGTAGGGAGAAAAATAAAAAGCATGAAGGAAAATCTTTTCCCTTCTGATGTCCACTGGGCTTCTCAAAACCTTCACTTCCAGACATTCTGCAACACTTACAAACCCTCTATTCTTTCTTTCATACAGCTTCTGATATCCACCAAGATTGGATCTCCATGCCTTATACCTTCTATTATTAACTAACACCATGTAATTCCTTCCTAAAACTTTTACTTTTCCATTTATTTTTGCAGTTTCCTACGGACCTTCTTCATATATATATA